GTGATACTCCCCCTCTATGCAACACTGGTCAGGCTGCAGTCGGAGTACTGCATCCAGTTGTGATGCTTTGATCCGCATGGGGATTGTTACCTTTTGGGCTTGGAGGATCAACTCCTTACATGGTAGATATGTTCCAGATTCCACAATCTGACAATGGGACAGTTTAACAAAGGAAAAAAAGGAGTTCCCTCCCAGCCCCATGCATTAACCAACAAGGCCCAGAATTAAGAGAAATACCCCTAGTAGAATACAGGCACAGGTATGCCCAGATCATCCCTGATCAGTGGCTATCCAACATTCTTGAAATCTCTAGTGCTGGAGAGCCCCCAGCTTCTGTAGGCAGTCTGTTCACTGCCTCACTGTTCTAACTGTGAAGAAGTTTTCCTGATATCCAGTCTAAACCTACTTTGCTGCAGCTTCAGGTCATTGGTCCATGCAGCAAGAGGAAAAAAAGGTGTTCTTTCTCTCTCTTGTATGGCAGCCCTTCAGGTATTTGAAGGCTGTCATCACGTCTCTTCTTAACTGCCTTTTCCACAAACTGAACATACCTATTTCCTCCAATCTCTTCTCATATGGCTTGCCTTCCAATTCTTTATCATTTTTGTCGGTACCTATGGACCCTCTCTAACTTCTCCATGTTCTTTCTAAAATGTGGAGGCCAAAATTCTAAAGAATACTTTAGATGAGGCCTATCCAATGCTAAGTAAAGGGTGCCTTAGACCTAATGCTCCTGTTCATGCAGCCAAAACCTATTTTTGCCTGTCATGCAGCTGCATCACAATGCAGTTAGTGTTCCACCAGGATTCCTAGAACATATTCCGTAGTGCTACCATCCAAAGAGGTGCTCCTATCCTCCAACATGTTTGCAGTCCTTCCCAAGTTTGTGTCATCTTCAGACTTGCTCAAAAAGTGTTCAGTGCCACCAGCCAAATCATTAATAAATGCACTGAATAGCTCTGGGCCCAGGACAGACCCCTGTGGGACTCCCATTCTGGCATGGATCCATTTATATTTACCCACTGCTTGCAGTTATAAAGGCAGTTGCCCATCCATCATATAGTAGTTCTGTCTAGTTTGCATTTCTCCCAATTTGTTTTTGAGAAGACGGGGGGACTTGAATCACCCTGACATCTGCTAGGAGGGCAATAATAGTAGTGCACAGGCAATCTAGGTGCTGGGGACAACTTACTGATGCAAGTGTTGGAAGGGCCATGCTGTTCTTGACCAGCTGCTCACAAACAGTGAAATATTGGTGGGGGATGTAGACATGGATGGCAGTTAGGGCAGCAGTGACCATGAGATGATTGAGTTCAGGATCCTGACAAAAGGAAGGAAGGAGAGCAGCAGAGTAAAGATCCTGGACTTCAGAAAAGTAGAGTTGGATTCCCTCAAAGGGTAGGATCCCCTAGGAGGCCAGTCTGAGGGAGAAAGGAGACCAGGAGAGCTGGATGTATTTTGAAGAACCTTGCTGAGAGTGCAGAAACAAACCATCCCGATGTGCAGGAAGAATAATAAATATGGCAGACGACCAGCTTGGCTTAGAAGAGAACTCTTCCATGAGCTTAAACACAAAAAGGAAACTTACAAGAAGTGGAAGCTTGAACAGATGACTAGGGAAGAGTATAAATATTGCTTGGGCAGGCAGGGATGAAACCAGGAAGGCCCAAGTGCAGTTGGAGTTAGCAAGGGATGTAAAGGGTAACAAGAAGGGTTTTTACAAGTATGTTAGCAGCAAGAGGAAGGTCAGGGAAAGTGTGTGTCCCTTACTGAAAGGGAGGCAAACTAGTGACAGATGATGCGCAAAACAACAACTTTTTTACCTCCGTTTTCACTGGCCATCATCTTTCAAAACTCATGGCCATCGGACAACTACAAAAGGGCAACTGTAATGCCAAGTTTAAGAAAGGAGAGAAGGATCCAGGGAACTACAGACCAGTCAGCCTCACCTCAGCCCCTGGTAAAATCATGGAGCAAATCCTCAAGGAATCCATTTCTAAGCACTTGGAGGAGAAGAAAGTGATCACAGGAACAGTCAGCATGGATTCATTAAGGGCCAGTCATGCCTGACTAATCTGATTGCCTCTGTGGATATCGGGAGATCAGTGGACATGATGTACCTTGACTTCAGTGAGGCTGTTAATATGGTCTCCTACAGCATCCTTGCAAGAAAGCTAAGGAAATATTGGTTAATTGGACGAATACACAGAGAGGTGGATAGAAAGCTGGCTGGATCATCAGGCTCAACTGGTAATGAGCAGTGGCTCGATGTCTAGTTGGCAGCCTCCTGGGGCCGGTTTTGTTCAGTATCTTCGTTAACCATCTGGAAGATGGAATGGAGTGTACCCTCAGCAAGTTTGCAGGTAACACCAAGCTGTGGGGAGTACTAGATATACTGGGGGATAGGACTAGGATATAGAGTGACCTAGACACATTGGAAGATGGGGCCAAAAGAAGTCTCATGAGTAGTGTTCCATATTTTCAGTTTTTATTTAAAAAAAAAAAAAAAAAAAAAATCCAGGAATTTTTCAGGCTTTATTTTCCAAACATAAAAACTGGGTTGAAATCAGGATAAAAGGAAGAAAAGGAAAAAAAAATTGGTTTAAATCAGGGAAAATAATATCTTCTCATGGCAGTGAGGGAGGGAGAGAGTAAGGCTGGGACTAGGGAAGGGGGGTGGGGGCAGCCCCTTAGTAGCTCCTGGGGCTGCAGCAGGGAATGAAGCAGAGGGAACTGTCTGTGGGTGTGGGGCAGCGGGCACAGCTATTGCTGCTACATGCATCCTGGGGGGGCTGCGCTGGGGTATACCCAGGGGGTGTGTACCCCCAGATCTGTATGCAGGATGAGAGCAGGCTGCCACTGCAGGCTGGGGGCAGCGGTAGCACCAGGCTGTTCCTAGTGCTCAGGGCAGGCGTCAGCCTGCTGTCATCTGGCGTGCAGATCTGGGGGTACACGCCCTCCAGGAAGAGCCCGGCACAGCCTTGCAGCCCTCCCTCGGATACACGTAAAAGCAAGAGCCATGCCTCCCCACTGTGCTCTGCACCCACTGACTTACAGGTCCCTCTGCAGCTGGCGTCAGGTGTTCCTGGGGCCGCTGCAGCAGGGGCTGGGGTGAGTGAGAACAAGTGGAGCCACAGGGGACATGGGGTGTGTCACAGCTTGTTCCTGCTCACCCCAGCCCCTGCTGCAGTGGCCCTGGGAGCGGCTGATGTCAGATGCCTTCACTATGGCACGGTGCCACCCAAGGGCTGGCGGGAGGGAAGGGAGGGACACCCAATCCCAACCCCAGCACTGGCACTTCCTGCCTCGACTGGGGTCAGAGCTGGGAAACCTGCACCCCTTGTCACTGGCTCCAGCCCTGCAGGCCTGTGCAGAGCACCTGGGTGCAGCACCCATCACAGGGAGCAGGGCTGAGCTCCCCTGCCTGCTCCCCCCCACCTCCCCCCGGCTGGGTTCACAGTTCCCAGTGCCTGGAGTAGGGCCACAGCTGGAGCCTCTGGGGTGCAGATGGGACCTACCTGCCCTGGGATTGATTTCCTGTGGTCCCTTCCACCTTGCCTGGGGTCAGAGCCTGGAGCCCTGCAACCCCAGGCAACGGCTCCCCCCCCCCCACCGTGTGCAGCTGCTGCCATACCCTTCCTTCCCTCTTGGCCCCACATCATACTGGAAACCTGTGCCTTGGGTAACCAGCACTTTTAACTTACTGGCACCCCCACAACCATTCCCCACTCATGCTGGTTCGCAGGGATTTTTACTGTACCTGGTAAAATTGACTGAACTGAAAAAACGGGTGTAAATCAGTAAAAAAAAAAAAACAAAAACAAAAAAACCAAATAACTTCAATAAAAAAATCAGGGAATTTATTGGTGAAAATTGGTAAAAACTGAAA